TAAGTATTTGCTATTGACTGTTCAAATGCGGAGTTTTGCGCATTGTGTGTGTGTGTGTGTGTGTGTGTGTGTGTGTGCGCACGAGTGTTAAAACCCACAATTCCTTTGTAATTTTGAATCTGAAAGATCTAGACCAGAGTTTCTCAAACAGGAGTTCATAATGGAACTGTACATTATTATTATTACTATTATTATTATTATTATTGTGGTGGTGGTGGTGGTGGTGCTACTTTAAATTAGACTGCAGAATAATAATAATGCCCTAAAATTAGGCTACTATTACTATACAATATTTTAGTACAATTTTAATATTTAGTGACATATGGGACCATCTTTCTGTTCAGTATTAATGCATTACATTGTATCAATAGTTACCACTGCCAGAAGAACAGATTCTACATTGTGCTTTGCTGACCATCATTTTGTAACAGATCTAAACATTATACATAATTAAATGAATTTGATCATTTGATCATTTTAATCATTAAATGAGTTTGATCATGATGGGAATTAAATTTGAATTAAAAAAAAAACGGTTTACCATACACTTCCAACATGCAAATGTGTACTTAATAACTAGTTGTTCATTTCTAAGGAAGCACAATGACTCTGAGCTCACCAAAGGAGCATGAAGACCTCTTTTGGCCAACAGAGGGTGCCATAACTTGAAAAGTGTTACATCCTTTTGTTTGCCATTTGAAATCCTTACAAATTCGAATGAAATGTTCATAACGGCACTTAATGATAAACCTGTCTTTTTATTGTTTTAAGTTTAATCAACACATCTTTATGTTTGCTATGATAAAAAATAAACAAACAAAGAGTGTGCTTCTTTAATTGACATAAAGACCAGCTTTATTTTGTCCCATTACTTTATGACCAACGAAAACTTACATCCAGTGGCCCTGTAAGTTCATAGATTTAGGTGTGCAACTTATTACTAGTCAACAGAAATAAATTAGCATTTCTTGAAAATGTAAATGTCAGACAAACTGAGTGTTTTTTTGATTCTGTACTGCAAACAATGTGAAGTACAAGCACTAGTTTCAGCATATAAATTACAAACACATTTTTTTTTACTCTTGGCTGATGCTTCCCACATAAAATTAATTTAAAACTACAACTAAATAAAAAAAGAATTCATTAGCTTCATGTGTTTTAATGGTTGATTCCCAGTGCAATTGGAAATGTCTGATTCCTAATTTAATTCTAATCATAAACCAATGTAAGGCCATACTGTTACAAAACATTGTTGTAAAGTTCCTGCGTGTTCATTTTGTGCCTCCTTTTTGATGAACATGATTATTGGTGTATTGCAAATATAACACATTATTACCAATTCATATTATAGCTTACACAATTTTACCTCATCCTCTGTCCACCCTTGTTTTATACACTCACAGTTTTCCATTTCTTTCAGAATACCAAGAAACTCCAAAATCCAGACCTAAAACTTTTTCCTGTTATAACGTATATTCATTCAGACATTTACCTTCAGGGAGCTGTAAGTCATTGTTTTAGATGTACAAACCTAATATTGCATGTTAAGCAGTCAACAAACAATAAGTATGGATTAACAGCGATAAAAATTTAAATGTAGACAGATTGTCTTGATTGCAAGATGTTACATGTTTTTGTGTCTTGGCCCCAAAAAAGTTTATATATTTTTTTTGCACTTAAAAGACACTTAAAAATATATAAGTGTCATGATATTTAATACAAAATATCACTTCAAGTGGCATTTAATTTTAAGGAAGATAGCACACTCACAAAAAAACTTTTGACAAATCAAACAAAAAGAAAAAGATTTTTTGGTTTTAAATTATAAAACGACCAATATACTGTTTAAAGTGAAGACTTTAAACATGGTTGTTAAATCATAGTGGATCATGTTTATAGACGAACTACACCTGTTACTCTTTTAGGACAGCTCTGTGAACTTTATCATCTTTATACAGCCACTGCAACACTATCTGATTAGAAATGACTGCAAAAACGACTAGAGTGAAGTTAACTATGAGAGAGAGAAAAAAATTAAGTATAATCTTTTTTTTTATTTGATATTTTTGTTATCTCATGGAAATAAACTCAAAAATCCTAAGTGTGGCTTAAGCGTTCAAATACTTTATGGGGTCACTGTATATTTGTGACAATTTAGTCTGTGATATAAACAAATAAGCAGCCCCCTGAGATCAGCTCTGTAACAAATCGTTGCTTCAAATTCGTAATATTATAAATCAAACAATGCATGATAAGAGGTCCAAAATGTTTTTGTTGTTTTATTTACAGGGAGCAATAAAATAAATTCCTGAAGCATAGTTTTGTTAATTTATGATTAGAAGTAAAATGCATTTTTTTCTCATTAAATAATTGTAGAAACGTTCATCCTTAGACGTAAAGGCCATCTTAAGATTGTAAACCTTTTACAGGTTGCTTCTGTATACATGTTATCCCATTAAGCAACAAACCCTTAGCTGGTTTTGAGTCAAATGTTTTAGGATTAAAAGGGCAATTACGTGTAGGTAGCGTCCTTTTTCAAAACCGTACTGAAAAATGCATAAGTGATTTTGTTCCAATGTCTGTGAAACAGAAAATCTCTGGCTTAAAGAGAAGAAAAGTTCCCTCTGTTGTATCCGTTCACCAGATCGTAGGAGACTGGAGGTGCGGAGCAGTCTGTGAAGAAGTTTGAAAAGGTAAGTGCACACGGCGAGCTCTGTTCCACAGGCACGCTGCCAGAAAGGTCTGTGTGGGTATAAAGATTTGGCTGTACTGGTACTGTCCGCATGTCTCCTGACTTTTTGGAGGTGCCACTACAAGTGCCCCAAGGTTCAGTGTACAAGAACCCACCACTTACAAAATGGTGGGAGTCATATGGCTCGGGGCCCACGGTCACCTCCTGTTGAATCCTGATAGGTGCGGTGTGGAATAGATCCTGCTCCGAGACCATGTTGCTGTAGTCGGGTCCAAGAAGCTCGAAGAACTCTGCTGCTTCCGGAGTCCCTCGCTCCAGGTCTTTGAGCGACATGCCAGAAGTAGATGTAACTCTGGAGCTGTTGGCCGGCTCTGTGAAGAAGGATGGAGGAAGGTTTCGATGCCGCAGTGGGGGCTTCTTGGCTCTCTCTCCTCGCACATCCTTTGCCGAGTTGAAGAGGGCAGCCAGACTCTTGCTTTGCAGGCTGGCCTGCATCCCATCCTTCTTGGGTGGTGTTTTGCCGGAGAGGTTGCTTGTTGGGGTTTGGGGTGAGCCTTGCCTCTTGCATGGCTCCTGAACCGGTGTGGTCCCTGGCGAGATGATTCCCGTGCACCTCTTAATCTGCTTCTGCAGGTACTTTCGGTGGTTGACTTTCCTCTTGGACTTGACAGGCTTGTCCAGTGCAAGTTTGATGTTGCTGGAAGCAGAGTCGATGAAGCTAAGCAGGTCTCTAGTGGTCTCCTTGAAGTCACCCCCGCAGTCCACCTCCTCACCCAGGAGACCCCCTTCCAGACCCTTTTCCACCTCATAATCCATGACCGAGCCAGGAAAACAGAAGTTCAAGAACTGCGAGTTCATGATGGCAGCCTGAACAGCCATCTCTCTCCGCCACGAGCGCAACACCTTCGCGGTGAATATATGCAATTGTCTTCGAGAGACCCTAAAGCATATTTCTTATCTGCATTTCCAGGGTGGTTTGCTAACCCTTGGTCCTGTGCAGGACACCCTTACAGTTCCTCTGCACTCTGCCGAAAGCTTGAATTTGGGGGAAGGGAGGATTATTTTAGGGGGCAGGGCCAATGATGTCAGGACATCAAAGGGGAGGGGCCGAGGGACGTGAGGACTTAACTCTTTGCTCACGCCTGACCACCTGCAACTAAGAGGGATTTGTCTGAGGCATCCCACAGAGTAAAAACACAATAGCCTTAGGTTCATCTGTCCTGGTCAAGTCTTCTTGTATATGTGTATATACACATTTTTTGCTATGAAATCTGAGAACAGACTGCCCTCAGGGCATCTTAACTGCTTGTTAAATAAAAGAAAAAGTTTTACTTGTATTATTATTATATTTGTTTAATTAAACATTTGACTCAAAATGTTAAAACATGAAGAATTAACAAATGTTTCCAGACACAACAATGTAATTTATACATTGTTCAAGGTTAGCCTAAAGAGTGTAAAGAACAAATACTTTATGTAACTCAGAACCACCTGTGGATATCTTTAAATGAATGTTAAGAAAATGTATCTGATGTACTCTAGACACATAAAACTTGATGGGAGATTTTAAAGATATTTAGTTTTAACCTGTACTGAATTATACTAGACATTGAGCATTGTGTTATTATACTCCCCTGAAGAAGTTTCATGCAGTGTGATCTACATTTTAAATACTTGTCCACATGTCTCACAAAATCCACCTCTTGAATTTGCATATATCGTACAAACTTGACCAAACCTTCACAACATGTGCATTAGGTCCTGAACTAAGGTGAATGCTTAATTGAAGATACATCCTTTGGAACACGTTTTTCTACATGTTCTTCTAACTTCCTACAACTATCCCAAACCTGTTCACAGTGGAAGTTGATTTCTCGTGCATTCCCGCACCAGTGGGAATTTTAGCCTCTGCCTGACAACTATTATAGGCTGCCTTTGACATACAGCCCTACATGGTCTAAATAGCTTCTATTCTTCCTTGGGCAGTGAAAGGGATCTTTGTGCCAGAGATTCATTAAACTGCACCTCACAGCCCCTTCGTAAAATTAGCTAGAAAGAATTCACTTACCCAACCTTTAATGATAATTTTAAAAGTTCAGAAATGGCTTGGAATTCCTGTTATTGAGATCATTACATCACATATTAAAACACCCATGTAAACACGAGCTGGGCGGTGTTGTAATGTTCAAATACAGTATACTGTTTCTCAGCTTACTTCTTTGTGTCCATGAACGAAGAATGAATAACAACTTTGTTAGTATTGTTTTTAGTATATCAAGGCCTTAATTGTTGCAGGATTAAAATACTTTCTCCTAACAACAAGTAAGAAGCTGAATCCCCCAAAAAGTGTAAATACTGGCTTTATAGCACTATTCAAACTTTTCATTGTTTAAGCCTCCTGACTAGACTACCATAGCAACAGTGGTTCAGCCAATGGTGTAAGTTTGGGGCAGGACTATTTATTTATCTGACCAATGGCAGATGAGAGGAGTTTTCGAGAAATATGTTTGAAAACAATCATTCTTTTTGCTAAATCGGTTCGATAACAAGTGGCACAGAAATAACACACTTTACCTTTAAAGATACTTTCAGACTACATGGAAAATAACCAGACAACAGGAAATGCACACAAAACACTGAACTGATCATATTTCAGGGAACAACAAAGTGAAAATCATCATCCATCGCCTCACACTCCTCCTCCTGACCTTCCCCCAACCCCACAAAACAACCTGCTCTGCACTCTGGCTGTGATATTAATAATAATATTAGCAGGAGGCAGCTCAGCACAGAGCACATGATGTCTACGTACCGCAATTTGGAGAAGCAGGAGCTGCCAGGAAGTGAATGCAGGTCTGGTGGAGTCCTGCAGGTCCCCGCATGGGGCACAATCTCTGTGTTTTACACCGCGTGCCTCCCGCTAGCTACTTTATTGCTCATTGTCTGTCTTTAGGTTTTCATTAAATCACACTGGAGCAGCAATGGAGGAGTAACAGGAAATGGGACATGTACAGTTGCTTCCATTCATGTGCATTTATTCTGTTATTCATTCATCATTGTTTCCATTTAAAAAAAAGTGTGCAAAATTAAGAAAATAACAATAGTACAACCAGAAGAGTACACAGTTTGTTCAGAAAACTGAAGACTTGTGGTGATTATGTATAGACAATTAAAATAATATAATCACTGATATTAGATCCAGCTAATTTCAGTGACTATTTCAAACTGGTTGAGTTCTAAGTAGTAGAATTTTTTCCCTAAAATGTGTTTCAATTAAATAAAAGGAATAGTTGAAAACATATCAAAATATAAATTTGCTTTCACCGCTTTACTGTGGTTTTCAAATGCTAAGATGGTTCTTGCATGTCTAGTAACCAATCACAACACATAACATTAGAAAAATGCAGAACAGCAAATATGGTACACAAGTCATATGGACTTTTTTTCATGGAAGAAAAAAAAATCAGGTAAGTTTAAAAGGAAATGAAGGTAAATGAATGAGAACTTTGAACTATCCCCTTTAAAATGTAGCATACTTTAGTTAATAACCATAGCTGTGAACGTATGATTTTTATAACTACAATTAAACATTGAGACTTTGGCAAAGGACACTTCCCCTGAGTGGTTTTGCATTTGGTGTTTTCTGACACTTTCAGTTCCTCAATTTTCTCAGAAAAACCTACTGAACATTCTTATTTTGCACCAAAAAACCCTAAAACATTATGATCAACCATGACCCCAAAAAAACTTTTTTTCAGTTAAGTACCAAGGAAGAAACCACTAACTCTGGCACATAGCAAACAGACATAGTTCATTTTGTTTCTCTTACTGTCTTTGTTTCATATCAATGATTCCATATCATTGGGTAGTTGCTGCCTGTTTGATCCACTGCTTGAAGTAGCGTACTTCTAGCGCCCGTGTTTTGATAACTGACTCTGGGTCAAACTCGCTGTTGTAGCGCAGATCGAGGTGGTGAGCACCTCCATCGATCATAATGGCAACCAGAGATTCTGAAAGACTTCTGGTCACTCCACCACTCATCCATGGATCAAGATTTCCATTACTGAAAAAGACGACACACATTTAGGTCTCATAGTATCACTAAATGCAGTACATCTACCCCAACTAGAACATATAAATGGAACGTTTCAATTATAGTATAAAAAAATCTCTGTTAGCTCTGTTCCAAAACCCAGGGAGCTGCCTACTTATAAAACCTTATAAGCTGGCATAGACACCTAACAGGAAAGTTGTTCAAAACTTTCTAAAATACCTTGTGATGCCCACATTTTGAGGCACCATCTAATGTAGGCTATGCTTTGTTGAGAAGGCTATACCTATATAAGATGTTGCCTTAGAAAAAATAGCTACCTATATCGGCACTAGACCGCAAGACTTTTGGAACAGAACCAATATCTAAACCTTAATTATGGTATGAAGTGGAAAAATTAAGGCAGTGCTTTATATTATACAAACACAAAAGGTCCTACCTGAAGATGATGTTGCTGTGAGCACTTATGTTTCTCCCACCGTACACAATTTCTGCCCAGTCTTCCCGTGGCCGCACTCCAAACTGGTTGTAGCACTCGTCGGAGAAAGCCTGGAAGTTCCATGGCTGTGGCTCAAACATGTCAGCGACGCCGTCGGTGCACATTGGCATTACCATCTCTGTACAGCTCTGCAAATATTACACCACATCATGGGGTGTTCAACAACATGATAGTAAATACCCACAAAGTAGTTTTTTAGCCTTGTAACATTTATGAAAATGCACAGAAAATGACATAAAAGCACCACAAATGTATCATAAAGTTGTCCTAAAATAGCTTTGTGAGAAAAACAGAACAAGTGTGACCTAACAGACCAAAGATGTCCAAGCAATTTTCTGTCAATAACAATTTCAATGTCGGTCAGTTTTTAAGTCATACCTATCATTTGACATTTGAATTTTGGAAGAATAAAAAAACGCTCATAGTCATTGTCAGAATTTATTTCTATGTATGTAAAATATCAGCATCATAATTCTTCAACAACATCAATCAAAATCAATCATGAATCAAAATAAAACAGAGTGCAATGACTTATATTAATAAATGTGACCATATAGAGTCAAACGTCCAAACATTTTAATATTTTACCTGGTAGAACCAACCAAGGAAGCCCAGATTCCCAGTAGCGGTTTGTGAGGTGTTGAGACAGACTGCATCTCCCGTGTAATTGTAGTACACCCTTACGGCTTGAGAGATACCATTCAACAGCTGTTCGTCCGATACACCGGTATTAAAATGAAGATTTTTGCAGATCACCTGAGAATCAGAAAAACACATGTAAATCACAGAGCAAACAGCTGGCTTTATGTTCAGAGAGATGACAATAGTTCTGCTTTATTGCAAAACAAAGGCACATCCGATTTGCATGTGAAATTGAGTGGAATGGAATTCTGCTGGAGTGGAATTTATCACAGTCAAGCTGGAACAAAGTAAGAATGTTTCAAAGAAATCTTGACAAACATATCAAGCTAGGCAGTTATCTATGGAAAATGGCTCCACATAAATAGGATTGGACCTCAGTCATGCAGTAATGCAAATATTTGTTGCAATGTCAGTACTGCCACAAGGGGCACTATAGAGAGAATTAAAGGGTTAGTTCACCCAAAAATGAAAATTAGCCTGTGATGTACTCACCATCCTAGGGCTGCGTTCCAGTTCACTTTTTGTATGCCCTTCACTCGCTAAATTCTTTCCGTCTCATTTACTCGGATGTACATCATTGGTTACGTTGCATGAGTGCCCAATACTGGTGGAACCCTTGGAATGGGCTGAACTGGAACGTCCTAAGCCCTTGATCACTTAGAATCCGCTATGGTTTATTGTTTACATGTTTCCCCTAACAAATTTGTTTGGTGCAGCATTCTATATGTATACAGATATGCTTGATGACGTAGGACGTAGGACGTTGGCGTCGTGCGCGTGCCTCTGAAATATGCAGGAGCAAAGGAAACAAAGTTTCCTTAATTTAGCAAAGGAAAACCAGTCTCCTCTTGGCTTATATCGAAATCATCCATCATTTTCTTTACAAATCCTTGTTTTATACTTCTAATTCGTGACCGGCATTTTGTTTTGTTCTTTCTCCGCATTCGTCACTAATCACGCAATGCCGACATCCTACGTCATCCGTACCACAGTCAGCGGAAGTGAGAAAAAAGTGTTTATTAAGTTTGAAATATGGATATTTATCTTACAAAAACGCATGAATTCGCTACAGGAGGCCTTTATTCACCCCCCGGAGCCGTGCGAGGGGTACGTTTTATTATGGATGCGCGCACTTTATTTCACGTCTTCTGAACTGTTGACAAAAAGCACCCGCTTATCCCCATTGTAAGGCTTGGAGGGGCCAAAACTATTTTTAATATAACTCCGATTGGATTCATCTGAAAAAAGAAAGTCATATACACCTAGGATGCTTTGAGGGTGAGTAAAACACAGGCTTATTTTCATTTTTCGGTGAACTAACCCTTTAATGTTGGCATGAAATGAAATTGATCTAATTTGTAAATACATGTCAGAAAATTTTCTGGTTTAAAACTGTCCCTTCACAATCGACTGCAAGTTCACATTCATTTTTGAGTGCAATGCCAACAACTCCAAATCCAATTAAACAATGGATAGAACCAAGTCAACGACCTACATTTTTTCTTCTTTTTCAATAATCCATTACACTCAGATGTTCGTCACAATACAAAAAAACCCCAAAAGATTTGTTGCTACTTTCGTTTCATCGGGACTTCAAAGCAAACTGTCTCAACTACTGAGATGGTAAATAATTTGTATGTTTTTTAAATTATATAATTAAGCTAGCTACCAGAATAATAATACATTTGATTTGTTGGCTTAAACATTCTAAGGTAACACCAAATTAAGTACTGTTCGCAAATTTTTCACGTCTGTATTTCCATACTTGTACGTAAAAAAAATATATTTTAAGGTCCAATTCTCACTATTAACAAACCATTAACTACGACTTTTGACTCAATAAACTCCTAATTTTCTGCTTATTAATAATTAGTAAGGTAGTAGTTAAATTTAGGTATTGGGTAGGATTAGGGATGTAAAATATGGTCATGCGCAATATGTGCTTTATAAGTACTAATTTGTTAATAATAGACATGCTAATAAGCAACAAGTGAATTGCAAGAAAATCGGTACCTATACTAAAGTGTTACCAACAATTCTGGTCATAGAGATATTGCTTGGTGAAGCCGTTTTTGCCCAGATGAAGTATGAAACTGCACTTCTAGCATACCTTTGGTTCAGCCAATATTTACTTGTCAGAATACTCAAAATAACAATAAGCGCCAAAGTGTTGACTTGATGTGCGAACACATTAGCAAATTATTAGCAAAATTTCACAGTCACTGCAGTCCGTTCTCAATAGTGTGTAATAAGCTTTTTAATGGTAAACGCAAAAAATCCCTTGAACAATGTGAATCCTTTGCGAAACTTTCAACAATATGGACGCTTGACATATTGAACATAGTGAACAAAGACAATTTGCATAGAAAAACAAAACACGTTTTAGAGCATATGAAATCAGTCCACAAAGTAACAAGTTTGCGTTCTGATGCAGTCAGCATTAATGAATCTCTTAATGCTTATTCAGGAGGAAGCAAGTGTGTGATTTTAGTGCGAGGTATTTATGTGAAACTCCCACCAATTCCTAATGACTTCAAAATAATTTCGCCATGCAACGGTAAGTGACCATAATTTTACTCATAGTTATCGCTACACATTAAACTGGTATAGTAGAATAAATTTTATCATGCAACACGGGATGATATCTGTCATGTCTGACTTTAAGTGGGTTTGAGAAGGTTGTTGCTAACCTTTTCTTTCGAGATGGTGGTCTGCGTGCGAGATAAGCTACACGCATGTCCGAGCAGAGATTTATACTATGACAAAACCAGCAGAGGCTGTCCAAAGAACCTTCTCTCTACTTTTCAAATGGGATTAGGATTATACATTTATCTCTAGCAACAGATTTCCCACTCCTAAGCCTTCAATACCCCCTTCTCTCAGTCTCTCACATAATCACATTAGCTTTGTCATTAAAAAGCCTCCTCTTTGCACCCGCTGCCTAAACTGCTTTAACCACCCATATGTATCAGACGTGAGTCAGCATTAATGAGGAAATCATTCAGCGAGAATGATTCATACCGACTAGCTGTTAAATCCAACTGCTAAAGTAGAATTTTATTTGTTGTGTTTTACTGATTCATTTTTCTTGTAAAGTGTGTCATACTTAATTCTAGACCATGTAAGATTTTTTTTCGTCTTTTTTGCCACTTCATAGTCACAATTTACAGAAAAACCATGCCATTTATTAAAAAATTATAGGAAAAGTTCACACCCATATGGGTTGCATACATTGCCAGATTTTGAGGGGGGGGGGGGTGGTAACTACTCAAGAGTGAACCATCTGAGCTTTTGCAAAGTCTTCATATTCATACGTGCTAGAAATAAGCTACAGTTACCAACAAAAAACAAAGAAGGTAATGTACCTAAAAGCTTCTAAATAAAATAACTAAATGATTAAACAATTTCATCAAAAATAAAGCTTTTGTGATTCAAATTTCACACTGCCAACTTCTTATCTGTTCCGAAACCTACTGAATTGCCTTGATTGGATAATGTTAATCAATCGACAAATAGCTATTTAGGCATTGCTTTAGCAAACTAGTGTTCACTGGCTTCATATTGCATGTAATGCCGACTCTTCACGATTCAATGATTTTTATTTTGCTCGTTAATTACTATCACTCTGAAATATGTCAAATATGGATGTAAAATGTGTTGCACATGGCAATACGGTTTAATTTGAAAATGTTCTCTAGGTCGGCAGCTCATTAGCTTTAGGAGAAGAGCTTATATTACTTTCTTGTCATGCACACTAGGGCTCTTCATATTCATTTTCCTTTGCTTTGTCAGATAGATTCAATGAATGATAATACGGATGCCTCAGGAGTCCTGACAATAAACATGTTTTCTGTCCACGCCACCCTCTAACCAAAACCGAACAAAAACCTGAACAAAAGCTCAGTTCTGAGGGTGAAAGAAAACAGAAGCTTTATGAATATGAATGAAGCTATTTGCATACTGATGTAAATGGGTACAACAACTGACTTATTATCAGACGTGAGTCAGCATTAATGAGGAAATCATTCAGCGAGAATGATTCATACCGACTAGCTGTTAAATCCAACTGCTAAAGTAGAATTTTATTTGTTGTGTTTTACTGATTCATTTTTCTTGTAAAGTGTGTCATACTTAATTCTAGACCATGTAAGATTTTTTTTCGTCTTTTTTGCCACTTCATAGTCACAATTTACAGAAAAACCATGCCATTTATTAAAAAATTATAGGAAAAGTTCAGTTCTAGTGTTCTGAAATAAATACATAAATAATTAATGTATCATGTAAACACTGTCCCATGGTATATCAATTTGGTAATAATTCTTCAACATGATATGGCACCTGGCAGACATTTCCATCAGTGCTTTCAAGGTATGAACTTTATCAGAAGGTGTGTGCCACAGTATGTTCTGTAAGGGAAACCTTGGAAGTGAACTTATCGTACCTTAACAGGCCAGGCTGGAAGTGGTTGGAGGAAGTTAGCTTCATATGGATAATCCACCATGGCTAAGTTCACCCAGGTTTCCTGCAGCCAAGCCTTGAAGCCATACACTTCGTCTGGAGTCTTTAAAGGATTACACAGTCCAAACTCCTGAGACAGCCACTGCAGACCCTCACCTATAAAAGAAAAGCTGATCAAATGAGTCCAAGAAAACCCATAAGCTTCAAAAAGAGAGTTGGTACAAAACAATGAAGAGTCACAAATGAACATGGGTTTAGAACAAAATCCTTCAACAATCAGTGTTGGCTAGTAAAGGAGTACAGATAATCTGGACTACATAATAAGATGATCAAAATCAGCAAAACAAAAATCAAGTCCTTGGAATTTATATACACATAATTAGATTACAGAGATTTTTGTTTGTATTTATTTATTTTTTAAATTACAGACTGATTACCTATTTAGTGTTTAAGAAAGATTTCCCTTTTTTCCCTCAGGGTTTTCTTGTTTTACAACAACAACAAAAATGACTAGATAATACGTGGTCATATTAAGTTTCGTAAATAGGAAATAAAAGATTATATTATTGATTCTCATTTTAATTGTGTCTTTTGTAATCAGTACCACATCTTCCGAACATTGTCAACAATATTATCTACACATGACCACAAAAAAATATTTTTAACAAGGGGCAAAGCAGCATAGCAATCACATTCACCAACCTGTTGCTGAGACCCTGTCAATAGCCGCCCATGACCTCCTGATGTTGCTGCTACAGTTGGTGCCACTGATGGTGAAGTCATGGGTGACCACTTTGTAAAACTCTCCACACGGCACAATGAACTGCCAGATGGGAGCGGACGCGGCAAGAGCACTGAAAACACCAGAAGGTCACACTCACTGATCATTTCATTTCACAGTAGAAAAATCAACCAATAATCATGAACTTCTCTGCTGAATTACATCACCTTCCTTAATTAAACACATGGTTACACACTACTGTTAAGCATTTTACTCTTCTAGAATCCCATGGCACTCTAAATATAAGATAGGCCTATTATTCCGTTTCTAGGCATCATACTCCATTAAGTATGGATATGTATGCTGTACTTATGCATTTTAATAGACTAATATTTCACATTTAGATATAAACTACACTAGCAGTGACCTTTAAGCACTTATTAAATGTTTGCAATATCATCTTGAGACTAATACACACCAACCTGCCAAATGAGAATGAAAATCAACCGTGGCAGGCACTAGCCAGTTTTGTTATGATTTCGAGATTCCGTCTCTCAAACAGAAGCCTCTAACATTAAAAAAGAAAATGTAGAAAGAGAGTTGCACAAGGGACGAGAATTCCCACGTCTTTAAAATTTAAGCACTCAGTGACCCCGCTCTGGGACTTTACATGGTCTTCTGCTTTGTGACTAAGCTGCTGCTGTTTCTAAATGTTTTCACTTTCCAATAATACCACTTACAGTTGACCACAGAATATCTAGCAGGGATAACATTTCAGAAACGTACTGCAAAGGTGGCCACATATCACAGTACCATGCTTGAATACACTGAGCTACAAAGACCAACCTTTTTTTCTCACAAATGTTTGTAAATGCAGACTGTATCTAGATGCTTGATTTCATATACCTGTGGCAATAGGTCTGATTGAAACACCTGAATTCAATAATTAGGTGTGTCCCAGTTTGTCCATATTATAAATTTAGGGCCAGTTTTACTAACAGCTTGCGCCAGTGCAAACCGTCTTTTGGCATTAAAATTGTACTGTCAGATTTTACTAAAGATGCGCAGTGATGAATTAGCGCTGAAAAGGCGTGGACAGTTATTTTTGCGGCTGACCTTATTGAATATGCATTTGTAGGAGTTTCCCTTTCAGACGCAAAATGTATAGGAGGAGAGTATTCAAATGAATCGCGCAATGCATTTTACTAACGTTTGCATTCGTCAAATTACTGGCATCTGCACCATTATTTAAAGGGTTAGTTCACCCAAAAATTCTGTCATTAATTACTCACCCTCATGTCGTTCTAAACCCGTAAGACCTCCGTTCATCTTTAGAACACAAATTAAGATATTTTTGATGAATTCTGAGAGCTCTCTGATCCTCCCATAGACAGCAATGTAATTACCACGATCAAGGTCCAGAAATGTAGCAAGGAGATCGGTAAAATAATCCATGAGACATCAGGGGTTCAACTGTAATTTTACGAAGCTACGATATTTTTTGTACGCAAAGAAAAAACGATAACTTAACTTAATATAACTTAACAACTTTATTCAACAATTCGTCAGAACACAGATGCAACTGCGTCACGCGGATACATTTTCTACGTTGTTTACGCTTTGATTTGAACAAAAATAGCGTATCCGCGTGACGCAGCTGACACAGAATAGCATACGCTGTTTGCGTTCAGTGGAAATTCTCCAAAATGACGAATTGTTGAATATAGTTTTTTTCTTTGTGTACAAAAAGTATTCTCGTAGCTCTCGTAGAACCTCTGATGTCATATGGATTATTTTACCGATCTCCTTGCTACGTTTCTGGACCTTGATCGTGGTAATTACATTGCTGTCTATGGGAGGGTCAGAGGGCTCTCAGAATTCATCAAAAATATCTTAATTTGTGTTCTGAAGATGAACGGAGGTCTTACGGGTTTAGAACGACATGAGGGTGAGTAATTAATGACAGTATTTTCATTTTTGGGTCAACTATCCCTTTAAGGCCCAAAAAAAGCATGTCTTAAACTATTTTGCCCTTGAAATGGCTGCAATTGTTGCTGCTAGGAGGAGGCACTGCAGAGAACAGAGAGCGCGTGGTAGAAGGGAGAGGATTTTTTCCACATGTATTAATTTATTTGGAATGCCAGAAGAACACATTATCTGAACATATCGTTTGCCAAGCCATGTTATTTTTAATTTGCTTCAGGAAATAAAAGACAACTTGGAACCCTCAACTAGGAGTCACGCAATACCAGCTCTATCAAAACTTCTTGCAACCCTTCATTGTTTGGCCTCCAGTTCTTTTCAACATAGCCTACTGTGGCTTATTTATTTCTTTATTTGCGACTACTCTAATTTGTGCTGCGCTTGGTATATTGCATTGGTCAATATGTAAATGAGATGTTGCATCTGTGTTCTTTAATTTGTGTGTTGTTAGTAAATCACCTGCATACATTTCCACGCCCATCGGCGCTGTTTTGGAATTGCGCTCTCTCGCTAATTTGCCCTGTTTAGTCAAATTGGCCCACAGTGTGTGCATATATATGTACATATTTATGAGTGTATGTATGTATGCTTGCTTGGGTTTACAAATTTTGGGGTCAGTAAGAACAAGATCAAATTACAAAATGTTACAAATGATTACTATTTGAAGTTAATGCAGTTCTTTTGAACTTTGACTAATCAAAAAATCAAAAGTTCAAAAGAAAAAACATTAAGCAGCACAACTATTTTCAACGTTGATAATAATAAGAAATTGTGAGCAGCAAATTAGCATATTAGAATGATTTCTGAAGGATCATGTGATTCTTGATTGGAGTTAAGGGTGCTGAAAATTTAGCTCTGCCATCACAGGAATAAAGTGCATTTTAAAATATGTTATTTAAATTTGTAACGATAATTTCATAAAATTATGTTTATTGGTAAAAACAGTATTGAATATCATTTTTTTTTATATTTGCTGTTAATATTCTGATACACATAGGTAACATGAACAAACACTCACCCTACAACTGCACTGGGATACTTCATCCTCAGCCAAGTCGCCAGCATCCCGCCGTAGGAGCCGCCAATGGCGATGACTGAATTATTCTGAGCTCCAGGCAGGGTTTTTTTCAGAGCTTTGATGAGCACTGCAAAGTCAGCTAAAGCCTGTTCTGAGGTCAGGTAGTTCAGATACTTTGCATTCTGTGGAAAAGGAAAGACAAGCCCAGAAGGTCAAGGACAGTGTTAGCTAAATGACCCTTACCGCTCTACATGAGCTGCAGTATGTACTCACGCTGTAAGACTCTTCGCCGAACGGCATGGACTCTCCATAGTAGCGATGTTCAGCAAAAACCAGCAAGGCTTTCAGCTCTTCTGCTACATCCCACATGAAACCCTTGGGAAAAAGAAGAGGTTGAGATATCGAGCTTCCATTTGGACTAAGGGTTAGCACGGTAACTAAATTTTATACTTTTACAAGATATTTTTCCTCTGGATGGCAAAGTTTGAATTTTGTATCAGTATTTTTCATAATCATAATGCTATAAACATGAAGTAAATAATGCTGATAGTGATTATCTACAAACACTGTGTTTATTATTATCACATAAAGTGAAGCTCATAATTTCTGCAGCACCAAACAGAATAGAGTGCAACAACGCATGTCCAATTTTTCAGTGGCCTGGTTTCAGAAGTATTTTTCCCCCATCTAGTTTTCCCTGCATTTTGGCAAGGAAATCCACTGTTGAACATGATTGTTTAATAAATCAGTTGAAATGTGGGCTGATGGCTTTAACAAAAGCATATATAATATCAATTAACAACTTTGAAACTCACAGTAGGTCTGTATTTAGAGGTTTATAGATCATTCCCAAAATACATTATAAAAAATTACCCTGTGGAGAAAATGAAATGTGAGTTTTTACGGAACCTCTCCTACTTTTTTAATTTAATTAACAGAAGTGGTAGTTTTGTCGGTTCCAAAATATCTATAGATCCAAAATATCTATACATCTCAAAATATCTCTATAAAAGTTTTTTCTGCCATTTCTTCCAATCAAATATATATATAAAAAAATGCATATTTACAGTGTTGTTACAGAACCATGTGATGTCTCCTTCATTGCCCGTGTAAAACAGGATCGGGCCTCCTTCCTTGTGCCAGTGCTGGTCATTAAGAAGATACCTCTGTTTGAATGTGCCATTCTCCAAAAAGCCAAAATGGTCAATCTGTAATAAAAGAAAGAAAGAAAGTACACAAAGGAAATATTAAATTCATTTTAATGAAAAAATTAAATTTAATGGCATAGTGTCATTTGGAGAAATTTTTGCATTGCGTACAGTACACTTGCCCACTAATAAATCCTCTGCAATTAATGGGTGTTGTCAGAATGAGAGTTCAAATCCATCAAGACATTTTACATCTAAACCTTTGCTCCTAGCCAAAATATGAGTTCATAATCCATTGCAATGCTTCCTCCAGTGAAAAAGTCCATCCCCTGTTGTCCTCCCACATCAAAATCCACCAACACATTTGTTTAGAATTGATTTGGGTTGTTTTCACTTGTAAACTTGATCTGTGCATATTTCTCCCCTGATTCAGACAAGATTACTTTCACTGGAGATATGGATAGAGGAGTCATATTTTAGCCAGAAGCAACAGTTTGATGTTGGATTTGCTTATTTCAAACGATTGCCATTTCACAAGACATTAATAGATGGACTGGAGTTGTGTATTACTTTTATTGTGATGATTTTATCAGAATGAGAATGGACTCTCATTCTGATGGCACCCATTCACTGCAGAGTATCCATTGGTGTGCAAGTGACTTAATCTGTTCCGACGAAAAAACAAACTCAAATACATATTAGGTATAACATATACATGAAGGCAAGTACATTTTCTGCAAACTGTAATTTTGGGGTGAACTATTCCTTTCTTAATGTTGTTCTGCTGCTGTTTTAACCATAAACAGTTACAATGTTGATACACCCCTGTCTACACTTAATGTAAATGTACAGTAACGATACTAGACTGTCTTTATTTCTGGGTGTTCTCCTCAATCTTCTGGCCTTCAGGCATCTCGTATAGTTGAGTGTAAAACCTCGGAGCAGGATGGAGGGATAATTAGCCTCAATTTGTATTAAAATCTATTGCCAGCGTCAGGGATGCCACATTAGTTCCGCTTTGAGCAGAATTGTAATATCCATTCACCCAGTCCAGGGGCCGTTCACTGTCTTCTACATTTCCATAAATTCTCCAAGTTTGAAGGAAGAAGTCAAAAGAATGTTAAAACTTCTTAACAGTTGCAGTTCTTAACAGTTCTCACTCTTCTGAATCCCACCCAACACTTAATAAAGAATGTTCTCTCTAGTGTTTTGTTTTTTTGTAAATACCCTCTTTCTCCTCCCGTTGGCAACAAAAGAGGCAGGAATTTTATGAGCCAGTGACAGCAAAAGGACTCACAGTTACATTCATTCAACAGCAGTCAGAGCCTGGCTGCAGGTCAAATGAGTGTCAGCTATATTCACATGCTTTAGTGAGTTATTTTCTGTGTAAGCTGTTACATCTCAAGCCTCAAGCTCTAGAAAATGGCCTTTTTACAATTTATAAGCCTATTCATTTCCACTTTAAAAAACATATTTACAATATTTGAATCATAAAAGTACATACATTTTCTTGATAAAATAGATAATACTATTATTAATAAAATAATACATAAATGATTCATACTTTTAAAAACATAGTTTACAATAAATGTACATGTATTTTATTTTTGAATATTAGGGTAAAAAGATAATAAATATCAGCATTTTCACATTTCATTTTTTAAATGAAATGCAAAACCGAATTTTCAGCAGCCATTATTCCAGTCATTCTTCAGTGTTTTCTGATTAATAGAAAGAAAAGAACAGCACATATTTGAATTAGAAACCTTTAGTAACATTATAAATGTCTTTGACACTCACTTTTGATTATTTTAATGCATCCTTGCTCAATAAAAGTATTAATTACTTTAAAAAAAAAGAAGAAGAAGAAGAAGAAATAAATCTTAATGACCCTGACATTTTGAACGGCAGTATAATTTTTTTATTATACAATATCCTTATTCTGTTGTGAATTACATGAAACCTTCTATATAATAATCTTTAAAAGGACTATGGCGGATTCGAGAACTGAATGTACTCTATACATTCAGTTCTCTATATGTACTATAACTTTAAAACAAAACATCTGATTTTGGCTGCTGAGGTTAGATGAGTCACATTATGGACACCGGCTCAGAAATGCAGCACCCTCTTCTGGTTGATACAGACTTTCAAAGCAGATGTACAACATGAGTCATCAATCTACTTACTAGGCCTACCTGTTTCAATGTGAAAATGGTGTCACATAGCTTTAAAAAAAAAAAAAAATTAAAAAAAATGTACTTTATCATGTCTAAAATCTTTTTCATAAGCTCTTTTAACAAGAACCTGATCTACAGGAAAGCTGTGAATATTTTTCCAGCTGTAAAAACAACTTTTAAAACCCCAACACAAAAACGTATCCACAGGGTTAGAACAACAAATCAGTGGATGAATTTTCATGTTTGACTTTTCCTCCAGAAAACACAAACGTTGAAGGTTTATTAAAAAATTTCACACTGTTCCATTCCACCATAACAATGAAAGTAGATGGTGACCAGGGGCTGTCAGGCTTTAAAAGATTATATGAATCATGCACTTTATTTCAAGCTTACATAATTTACTTTCACTGTAGGGAAAAAGTCATTTGGGTTTAAAAAAAAAACATGACAGGGAATACATTGTTGTACTATATGCATACCATTTGCTGCACGCTGAACATATCTTTTTTTCCAGATATCTTTGTTATAAAACGGATAGTTCCGGTCCTTGATTCTGATTGGCTGAGCCACGTTCGAAGCTGTTGTAAATTACTCTACAAACACACACGTTTGTTTACGTCTGTATGTTCCTTGGCAACCACTTTGTTGCAACCACAACCGATTCTGGGGAACTACATTGTTTGGCGGAAGAATAATGTTTTTATTATTAAAAAATTTCACACTGTTCCATTCCACCATAACAATGAAAGTAGATGGTGACCAGGGGCTGTCAGGCTTTAAAAGATTATATGAATCATGCACTTTATTTCAAGCTTACATAATTTACTTTCACTGTAGGGAAAAAGTCATTTGGGTTTAAAAAAAAAACATGACAGGGAATACATTGTTGTACTATATGCATACCATTTGCTGCACGCTGAACATATCTTTTTTTCCAGATATCTTTGTTATAAAACGGATAGTTCCGGTCCTTGATTCTGATTGGCTGAGCCACGTTCGAAGCTGTTGTAAATTACTCTACAAACACACACCTTTGTTTACGTCTGTATGTTCCTGGGGAACTACATTGTTTGGCGGAAGAATAATGTTTTTATTAACATCATTACACTTTATTTGCTCTGTTTCATTTTGTGAAACCTTACTACGTATATGGAATAACCGTTTTATAAAAGCAATAAGCCCCGTGAAGCCGTGGTTTACAGTGAATTTATAACAGCTATGAATTTATAAATTCGCTGTAAACCACGGCTTCTTGGGGCTTATTGCTTTATTCTATACGGTACAAAACCTCTCCAAGTAAGCAACTGCCCAGCAACCATTTAGAATACCCTAGAAACCACATAACAACAGCCTAAAAAGCACACAGAAACCCTTAGCGACCATATATAGCAACATGGTAGCAAATATTGTACAAGAAAGAAGCACTTACTCTATGTTTTCCTCATGAAAGTAAAAATCTAGTTTTGTAGTAGGGGTGTGTATTCAGCTGCAGCGATAGGCATTTTCTGGGTTTCTTCTGCGAGGCATATTTGGAGATTTACTGCTGATCACAGAACCGTGCTTCACTGATAGATACGCATGACAATCGCAGCTTCTGTCGAATCGCGATCTCGATTCCATTTCGATTTATCGTGCAGCCCTAGTGACCAGGGTTCTGTCAGGCTTTAAAAGTTTATATGAATCATGCACTTTATTTCAAGTTTACATCATTTACTTTCACTGTAGGGAAAAAGTCATATGGGTTTCAAAAAACATGACAGGGAATAAATTGTTGTGCTGTATGCATACCATCTGCTGCACAGCTTCTGTCGAATCGCGATCTCGATTCCTTTTTTTTCGAAATTTTTCGATTCGAAAACGTATTTTACAGTGTAATAATATTTCATAATATTAGTTTTTACTGTTTTTTTATCAAATAAATGCAGTCTGTCTGAGCACAAGAGACTACTTTCAAAAACATCTTTAAAGAAATGTAATTATTGCAGACCAGTAGTGTATCAGAACTGAAGAAAGCCCAAAAGATTATTGAGATTAAATTTTTTTGTCAACATTGCACCCTATTTTGTACACATTAGTGCTATTAGTTATGTCTAATGAATTATCTTGGTTGCTTGTCAAAAAGTGCTCTCCATTTTTAAATCCACAACCAGCAACAGATGCTGAAAGGATATCCCCTCGACAACTGTTCAACCGCTCAACAGAGAATTAAAAAACGACAGACTACAGCTCAGCTCGAGAGGGAATGTGAAATGAAGCGCAGAGGGAATGTAAAATCCTAGACCCATGTTATGTTTCCTGTAGAGTTTCTACTTTGTAGATCCACATTTTAACAGCCTCGTCTGTGCTCCTACGACTGAAAGCTACCGTTTAAGGCGTACTAAGTGCTGACAAGGACAAAACCAAGACAATGAGGAGCAAGAAAGCCAGGAAATGGCCCTAATCTTCCTGACGGCTCAGAGGATGAGTTGAACAGACACCGAGAAACAATTGCCTTCACTTTGGCGTGTCCAGGTCAAGACGTAATTAGGCTCAGAGTACAGCCTAACAGGATTGTTTTTGTCTAAAACTAGACGCGGGGCTTTTCCTGTGTCAGCTTTTCCCACAGATAGCGTGTAAAAGATTAATTTCTAAGCCACTCTTCAGGCTAAGAATGAGATTAAAGGTTTCTGAGACTTAAATTATTAAACAACTGGCAGCATCATACCACGATTTAAATAATGATATATTAAAGAAAGAAAAATGTCACTGTGTATTTTAGTCAAAGCATGTTAAACCTGACGCACACACAAAAACAAGGGACTTTCAAGATCTCACTTTCAGTTCAATAAAGTGAAAAACGGGCAGACTGCCAGCATCAAATGCTATGCATCTGCACACGGGCCCAAGCCCATAGGGGCGAAAGGATCTGCTATTATTCTTTGGGGGCCACAAGGAAAAGGAAATTTCCTGCAGACACAATACAGAGCAGAACAGCACGGATTATGGACGCATTAAATAAAGGAAATCCTAAACGGAAGCCCAGTTGTAAGTTAATGAGCAGCCACAACCAGATAAAACTGCTGTGGGTTGCAAAATAAGACTTGTATCAATCAAGACTTACTGATTGATACAAGTTGATTGGAATGACAATGGTTTGCAAATGTGATCAATGACAACAAACAAGTTGCTGTCACATAAGTTTCTGATTACAATATCAAGGTTAGAGAAGGATGTAATAGGTCTAACCACTATTTTTCAGATATTTCCTCTTTTGTGCATTATTGGTTATTGAATGCACTGATAAATTGCACTATTGGTGGGTAGGCCTGTCGCAATAATCAATATATCGACTTATCGCGCAATATATGTACATGACCACAATCATTTTTAGTGACGCAATATATCGCCTATTATATTTACTTAAAAATTAATGTCACCGTGTTTTGTACATTCTACTTGCGCCAGTGTCTTTTGCAGCTTCTCGTACATAACGTGGTGTAGTCATGAGGTGCTAGTTCAAATTTTAAAAATGCTTCTACAAAAAAGTTTAATCTGCAGATATGGCCTTGTTTAGGGATCTGTGCCTTTGTGCATACGGGCATCTGACTGCTAAGTAGGGATTGTGTTTTCAGCAATAGTGTGCACCCTTCATTTACAAAGAAAAGAAGGTCTGGGAAAACTCTGTAGATGGAAAAATCTCCATACAAGTTCTTTGTGCATTTGTCTACTTGTCACTTCGCACTTTTTGTTAGAAAATGTTTATTTACTATTTATTCAGGCTTTTTAAGGTATATAATATTTTGCCACTTAATTTCCATGATCTAAATATTCTTAAAAATGTAAAGTTTGTTGTCATTTGGAAGCGTGTAGGCCTTCTTGCATTATTATGTTACTGTTACATTATGATTATATATTCAGTGGCATAAAATGGTCTTTAAAATGACAATAATAACGCTTATCGCAATTATTTCAGGGGCAATATATCGCACAACAAAAAGTTGTTATCGTGACAGGCCTATTGGTGGGTCGTATTTACTATTAAGTAAGTATTACCTGAAAACGTACTTTTTACAGTCATTCATTTTCAAGCGAGAAACATGTTAGCATAGTTTATGTGCTACTGTTTTAAGCCACACCACAAAACAGATGAAAATAATTCTTCAGCCATTTAGATCACAAGTAACTTTGTATAAATAAAATGGGTTAAGCTATAAATGACAATGACAACAAGAACAAAACTAATTACTGTTATAATTATTCTTGCTGTTTAAACAATTTTATGCATATACTTCCATTTTATTTAAGTTTGCAAAATAACAACCAAAAAGGTATTATGTTTTATTGTTGCAGTCTAAATTGTATTATTTTAGTCTGCTTGCTTTAATATATATATATATATATATATATATATATATAATTGTTTTTTGTGTAAAAGCTGAAATGAGATAAATGCATATTGGTTATCAGAAAATTACATTAAAAAAAAAATAATAATTTAATCAGTGTAAACAAATTGATATCTTGACATGGATTTCTTATGGCCAAGAACAAACAGCCAGGTAAGAGGAGCAAAGTAAGACACTTACCTGTTGATCAAAATAGAAAGTTTTGTACGAGACAGATGTGTGCTGAGAGTTGGTTTGGGCTGTGTGTCTGCCTAAGAGCTGTGGTTTGAGCCCCAGTGCATTACAGCTGAGGATGAGGAGGAGGAAGAGCAGAGCAGTGTTGATCAGTCTCATGTCTGAATGAATGAATCCCGTCACAGTGCATCTGAAAATACCAAGCGATGGATCATTTGCATACGAGGAACGAGGAAGGATGTCATATGACTCGTAGTTGCTCCATAACGCAAAAATTTTAAAACTACATTAAAAACAAAATAGATGCAATGTAACGCCCTAATATATATATATATATACAATACCGTAGCTTTTAAGTTTTTATTTTTCAAATGTCAGACCATTTCATAAAAGGCTCAAGCTTGATAAGCTTGATAAATCTGTTTGTCATTTGCGAATAGTTATTAAAAGTGTCTATCTGTCTCTGTGCTCACTCAAAATGGATAATATCTCCTTTCTGTCGAAGGAATGTTTTGTTATCTTCATATAACGACACAACGTGCTTCCGTATTGTAAAAACGTAATCACCGCGATGCCTCATGGGTATTGTAGTTTCTTTTTATTCCTCGTTATTTTCATTTATTTTTAGTAAAATCATAATAAATATATATGGTATCCTATAATTTATTTATTAACATATTTGTCTATCTATATATCTATATCTATATGTGTGTGTGTATATATATATATATATACATACTAGTACACATAATGTATCAAAATTTAAAAACAACACGTGTACAATTATTTACTTGTATGAGAATCTGTCTGTGATAGTGTCTATTAAAGTTGTATTTGTATTATTTTATTATAACTGACCTTCATTGCATTTATTTAATTAAGAAGCTTTTTTTCATTTATTAAAGAATTTATTCATATCTCCTACAATATAGTTTGTGTCATGACCATGTTTATTTGGGAAAAAAAGTATTACCTTACAGTCTATATATGCTGAGACTTAACAAGATAATTGCTCACAGAAAACGGCTTTGAATTGCTGCAGTCATGTCTCTTTATGATAAATGTATTACACATAATGCATCACAACTTATATATTGAAAGCACACACTAAAACAATAAATGTAGTTATCTACTTTGGATACAGATCTTGTGGGTTCAAAGAATGGCATTTCATCTTCACTAGACAAAAGACTGTTACTCCTTGATGAATATTGTACTTCACATAATGAAATGGTCATAATAACATTGTCCATACAGAAAAAGTAAGCACTTAGTAGTACATATACTATACTGGAAATTAGGGCATTTAACATAGAAAAGAAATAATTCTAGAGTCTTATTGGTACACAATGCAACACATTATAATATGGCATATATCTGTAAAATAATGCTAGACAAAAATACCTGACAGAGAAAATACTGTGCATGGCACGTCATGTAACATAGAAAGAAAACAGTTTATACAAAACTAGAAAAGGTTATCACTTTAAAATGAAATGTTAATAGAAAAGCTTAATATCGTATAAGCAGCTATGTGTAAATATGAGGAAAATGCATTATACTGCAACGTTATTGGCATGGACACCCAAAAAAAGCTGAAACAATTGGTCCTCAACTTAAACAATGTTTAGTGTTTTAGTGAATACCTTTTGTCAAGAAAAAAATAATAAATCAGTCTAAACTAAATCACTGAATCAAGCACATGGCATCTAAAACCAGTTGTAATTCTATCCATTTTGTAAAAGAAAGAAAAGAAAAGGCTCTGTAGCAGCAAGTAAAATACTGAAAGTCTATAAAAGAGGAGATTCACAGTTCCATTGTAATGACACGGGCGCAAAAAAACCCTTACAGCACAGCCAAGGTTGGAGGTACAAGTTCCAACTGTTTGAAAGTCATTAAAATGCACAACACAGTTCCAGAACAAAGGCCAACCGAAGCCAGAATCACACTGTATCACACCGTTAAACAACTCCATCATCTATTCCTCAATATGATGCATTGGAACACAAAGACCATTTGTGCAAGAACTCACTGAAACATCTATGAAATACATCTCATTCACACAATAGCTGCATGCACACTGTTCTCTCGGCCCCTCGAGTGCCAAAAGCTTTAAACATCGCTATGGTTATTACAATACCAAAGCTGGACTAAATTAACAGCAAAGCATCCTGGTATACTTCAGTTCTGGTAAGGGGGGG